GCAAAACTGAAAAAAAAAAAAAAAAAGAGTCGAGAAATAAAAAAACTAACTTTGTTTGTCTCAACTCGTAGCCACCTTCCTCTTGACCACTCTCTTCCTCCGGGCCTTGGGAGCTGGCGGGCCATCCTCTGAGGTTGAGTTGGGCTGCCCTTGTCTAAGCCCGAGAAGCCCAAGCCCAGATACAATAGAGTTTTTGGATATGAACCACTTGGAAGAAGATTGTTCGCCTCCTTCTGAAGCTCTGTTGTAGGCCGCTTTTAGAAGACCGTCTGAGTGGGCCAAAGGGTCGGCTTCCACACCAAGCCAGGCCAGCCTAGATGTCTCACCCACTTGTACATTCATGACTCTGCACGCATTTTGATTTGGTTATAAAAGGGAAAGTGATTAGTTTAGTTGTTTACAAAGTCAAAAACCAGAAACAAATCATAAATCCAAAGGATGGCCTTTCCACCTGCTCTTTATTTCTCTTTAGATTTTGATAAAATTGGCAAGAATGAGAAGCAAAAGTTTACCTTGCAAATAAAAAAAATAAATAAATAAATAAAACTCAACTTTTCTCTCCGGGTGACTCATAACAAACATAATATACTTTGCAGAAGTGATGTTAAAATGCAGCTAAGAAGAAATTCTTCCCAAATAATGAGCTAAAATTGAGGATCAGGATTTGGCTTAACTGGGAATATACCCAAAAGTGTGATTATAGATCAATATATAAAACTAACACATGTTTCATGTGTAAACCAACTATAAAGTCCATGTAAACATAATAAGAATAAGTACCTCATAGCTGTGCTGAAGAAAAGGGCTACACCAATGACATCAAAGGAGCTGGTGACAGCCCTATCGAAACCACACAAGAGCTGATACCTCAAATTTGCATAAAGACTCAGAAAAGCTCCATAACCGAGAGCATTGGAGCTCACTGATGGAATGGTGACTGATAACCTAAGGAATCAGAAGAGGAACGAAAGACATTTAAGTTACAAAAAATGTCAGGCACTTCAAATTATAACAAAAACACAAATATAACTCAGATAACTAAAGAATATTCAACTCAAGTCCATGAAAATCCTCTTACCTTCCTTCTTTTTTGCTGGCAGCAAAGTTAGACACAGCACCTTGCACGGCTCCTGCAGTAAAACCCACCATGCACAGCTCAGCAGCTTTGTAAAAGAACGACTGGAGTCTCTTCTGGAAGTCGAATTCTCTAAACGGATAACTTTTTTCGAAAATATTGTTGGGCAGCTTTTGCAGTGTATTTTGAAGATCAAATTGGAAAGTGTTGCCATACGAACGACAAGGGGCTAGCGACCAAACGACAATGGCATTGCAAGCTGTCACTGTGAGCACGTTGATGAGGGCAAGATCCCATTCCTGCTTCAACCTGCATTCAAAATATTAAGGACTTTTATTGAGTTCATAAGAAAATGAACACACGGGAACTTTCTCTTTTCAGTGTCAGTAAAACTATAAAAGAAAAAAAAATGGTGGATACCTCTCCTTACGATTCTTGACTTCCCACCAAACTGAGCAACCGATTGTTGTCGCCTGCTCAAGAAGCAGCCTGTAAAGAAAGGCTGGGTCCGCAATCATCCTGTCCAGACGAGGTTTAGCTAATATAGTAATACACAGTTGAAAGCAAACAGCCATACATCTAAGAAAAAACTTAAAGCTCACTGAAATCCAAATTCATCTGATAACATAAAATACATACATTTTTAACCACAGGTATAATTTTTTAACCTTTTGGTCACACATAAAAAATTGCACATGAGCACCACACCCAATTGACAGGGATGGATGTCCTGATAGGGATATAATTTTCTCAAACAATAAACTTCTACTGACCAGAAGGACTAATCCCCAAAACGACCAATGCACTCAATTCTAGTTGGAAAGGAAGTTCAAATAACTCCTAAAGGCTAAAAGTAGGAATGGATCGTGAATGGTGTTGAGCGAGCAACAAGCATGATGTGCTTGTGCTCGAAAGAACTGAGTCGAATTGGGAATTAGGATGTCAAATTAGAGCTTTCAACAGACCAGTTATAATCAATTTTGGAAGATAAGCCTGGCAAAAAAGACACGACTTAAAATAAACTTGGGATCACTGGCCTGTGCTTGGTTTACAGTTTATCCTCTAGATAGAATAAATGACACACACCAATTAGAAGAGCTCTGCATGAAACAAGATTACTCCATGAGGACAAGGAATTAAAAGTTATATATTCCTCCTGCAACTTTGAACATCTATATAATTATACCTGATAAAAATTAATTGTCAACACTATATATCACACGTTCAACAAAAAATAGAAATTACAAGAACCGACGCCGAACTTTTCCTTATGATACAAGGGCAAACAGAGCATTTGAAGTACTACAATGTTCAAACCAGTGTTATTAATGGCGGCAGGTAAAGTCCCACCATGGCAGCCGCCATAACCGCCATCCTTCACAAATTTAGCATGGCGGGCCACCATTTTGTAACACTGGTTCAAAGTCATATTCTGAGTACTTGACAAAACTTCAATTTGATCCATGACAACAAATGTTGTGAGATCGCAGTTGATAAACAAAAGTTTCAATGACTTTCAATCCTCAATGTATATTAGTAAAGAAAGCTTCAGATGCACCTGCCAATAAATGCTCTTGACAATCCTTGGGGTAGAGAACGAGAAATGAATCTTGCAGTTGTAGGCCTGGCATTGATTGCCAGAAACTTCACCATTTGAGCTGAGCTTACCAAACCCTGGAGCCAATTTGACATTATAACACATCCCCAGATCAAATTCAGAAAGGAAAAAAGGAAAGAAAAGGAAAACCATTACCATTTCGTAGGCCTGACGAAATCCAGCAGGCAAATCCATCATTGTCTTTTGCCACTCATTCAGCACAGCATCAACGAATTTCCGATCAAACAACTGCAACACGAAATTAAGCATTGAACCATGAGAGTATTATATATAATAAGTAAGTAGATCACTCTAAGATACTTCTTCTCATTCTCAAAAGTTTGTGTGAATAGACAGACAAATTTGTTACCTCTCCCAGAACAATCCTTCTTCTGAAAAGCCCACCCTCATCTCCATCATCACCTTCATCAAAGTTATCGAAGTAATCATCATCATCACCACCATCGTCACCTCCATCACCGCCCCCATGATTAAGACCCTTTCCCATATTACCACCTCCACCCCCAGTAGAAAGCTGCCATATTGCAGAGCAAATAGCAAGCATTGATTGTGAGTATGATATCTACTAGACAATTAGAACTTTCAACATGAAACTTCAGACCATCGTAATCAATGAAATTTCTATTTAGAGTAACATATCAAATGGATCACTCAGAAACCAATTCTTTTATACCCATCGAAGATAATATACGACTTGAAAGCAGAAACGAGCAGTTAACGACATACAAATTGCTCATAAAATTAGGCTTCCCCCTAATCAGTAAGTAATGCAATTTCTGATTCAGTAATTTAACTGCAATCTTGTTTACCAATTTTATAATGGCATATAGTGAGCTCACCCAATCATCACTGCTCAAGAATGGAACAGTGAATATTAATATGCAGAAATGTGGAGCCACTTGCATAGTTGCATTAAATAGCAGTCGAGAAGGGTCATACATTGCTACACGAGAATGAGTTCTACAAAAGCTTCAATGTAACGCATAAATCAAATACAACGTTTAGTCAGGTCCGGGTATCTCGAGTACACGTTCAAGAATTAGTTTAACTTATCAAGAAAAAAAAAAAGGATGAGAAGAGGTCACTCCTATGTTATATTTACAATGGATAAATGTCCTTATCCAGTTAAGCCATTAACTGTGGGATTCATTGCAATCAGCCTAAAGCACAACTTACAGAAACAAAAACACTCACCGGCTAGAGCAAGCTTACAGGAACAAAAACACTCACCCGCTAGAGCAAGCAGTTTTCCTGAACTAGATACATTTAGTGCAAAGAAAAGAAAAAGACAAAGAACAAGATTACCTCGGGACTCTTCGTCTGAACTTTACTTATTATTATCTTCTGCGGAAAAGCCAACTTCGGTTTTTTTTCCAAAGTAACCGATTTAAGCGAACTCAAGTTCCCCTTCATAACCGGGCTACAATACGCTGAGGTGGAAGAAGCCGACGGGAAGACATCCGGGGCGGATGGCGACGCCTGAAAGCATGTCTCCAGTCTGGCAGTAGAGTCGCCGTCAACCACCGAGGAAGATGAAGCCCTGATACTGAAGCAACATTTTCGGAGCTTACACGCGGCAGCCGGTGGGAGAGCGCTCCGTAGAACGGTGGTGGCGGGGAGTAAGGACTTTGATGATAAGGAATTGGGGGCCGGCGCCAGAGGCATAATCTGCGCCAGTTGGAAGACTGTGTGAGACATTTCTATCGGCCTCTCCTGTTCTTTTCTGATTCGGAAATCTCAGTCTGAATTTGAGGATTAGGGCTTTTACCTTCTCATGAGAAGCAAGATTTTTGTTTTGTGCCTCTCTAGTTTTTGGGTTGGTGTTGATTTTTTCTCCTCAGTTGGAGAATGGGAGAAGGGAAGAGGGATAGAAATTAGGGGTCAGGGTGGAGTTAAGGTTTTGATGGAAACGAGTCTGCTTTGGACAAACTCAATCCAACTGACACCGAGTCGACTCGGCCTTTCAGAAATTTGGTCAACAATAATTTGAGGATAGAAATTAGAATAGAAAATTTGTATTTTCAGTACCGATTTTATCCAAACAAAAATAAAAGGTAGTATTAAATTTTTGGCATAGTTTTTAAACCCGAGCCTGGGCATGGCTCTGGGTCACTTCCTTGCCGAAAATCAATTAGTGTCTAAAATAGTGTTGTAACCACTTAAATCATTTTTACAAATTAATGTAATTAGTTAATAATTAACTAAAAGAGCTTGAATGCATAGTAAATTTAATAACGTATTGTTTGTGCAGCACATTCCAATGAGTTTTTGGAGATCGTATATTAAAAACAAAATATGTGACACCAGCAGGGCACTCTTGATGTTTAAATTGAGCAGCAGCGGTTTGCTTGGCTCATCGAAAGGCGACGACAACTAGTGGCAAATCTGTCGAGCACTTCGGAGACGAGCGGCTGCGGCTGCGTAGTTAATGAGAGTCTCGGATGGGATGCACGGTTCTCGAACGAGAGAAAGCTGATATGGCAGCTTTCCGCCAACAAAGGTTAAGTTCGTGTATCGAGTTGCCAAGAAACCTAGATAATGTATTAAACTGTCAAGGTCTAAATGATGATTTGATTTCTGTTTGTTGAGTCAGACTTCTATGTGATGTGGCCGTTAAAAAAATTTGTCACGTCAGCTTTCTGTCGACGGACAATAAATCTGTGTATCGGGTTGCCAAGAAACCTAAAGTGATTTATTAAATTGTCAAGGTAGGTCTAAAGGCGGTGATTAAATGACCAATCGATTAAAGGCGGTGTATTTTCCTACCAATTAGCCGTTAAAATTATGTGAATAAATAAATAATTAAATAAAGTTTTATGTCATGTATAAGAATGATCGATTGATATTATTTAATTATATTAAAAATATTAAAAATAGTGGAGTTAAATTAGAGTTAACTTAAATTTTGAGTATGGACTGAGTATGAATTAAGTAATATTATATACAAACACAATACACAATCTGTTCGTGGGTATTTTATCAACTAGCTTTGAATTTCAGGATTTGAATTTGAAATTTGACAACCTTCATCACATCTATCAACCAGCTTAGCTGTGAATTTAAGGGTTTGAATGCAAAATATGCAACCTACATCATATTCTGAAGAGGTCTGAAACTAACTTAAAACTGTCTGAAATGGGAGAACCTCCACGTGTAAATTGGTTTTTTGATCAGCAGATGAAACATGCCACTGCAATACTTTTATCAAGTTTAGACAGACAGCAGACAAAATCTTGGGAGAAAATCAAAGGACAGTTTAAAGAGGAAGCAAATACACAGGTGGTAGCATACCAGCATGCTCAAAGATAATCCATTAACTTACTCAATTCATATATAATTCTACTACTACTTTTTTTTTGCTAACATCAGTTTTAGTAAACCCTTCACATTGCATCTCTCTTCCTCCCTCCCCTGCAAACTATCAAAAAGAACCCGTACGCTTTACAGTTTGCTCTTTCGGAAAGCCTGCAAGGAAGCAAGTGATTTTCTCTGGATGCTAAATTAAATAGAGGGAACCCATTTATTTCCCTCGACACTCCCCACAACACCTCTTCACAAGGTTAAAATGGTCAAAAACAGCAAGATCAACAAAATACCCCACATTTTCTCATGAGACGTTGTGACTAGCTGAGGCCTGCCTTCTTTCGGCTTTGACCTCCAAACTCCTTTTCTACTCCTTTGAAAGCTTCTCCAGCTTCTAACCACTCTCCACCAACCAAAAACCGTAAGCAGATAACTAAACACGCCTCCTAAATTATTTTTTTCGGGCTTTTGAATATCAAGCATTGTTTAGGATATCCAGTATAATAGAACAAAAGTCAAAAGTCCGTTTAGGTACAGCCGTTGTATCCTCCAAGTGCCTAGTACGAAATCTGCAGAGATGCAGCATCCATTAGTGCCCAAACCAAACAAACAGAAGAAAAAATACAGTGTATCTGAAGAAATTTCGAAGCACAATCAATCAAGTCCATTTTGCTTGATTTACAGCCTAATACAAACCCAAAGCATCGATTAAGTGGAAAAAGAAAAGATTCCAATAGCAATGGAAAAAATTATAAAATATTGAGTAAAAGAACTGTGTAAAATAACTAGGATCTGTAAGAATTATTTGGGTAGTATTCTGTTGATCAATTACAATTATTATTATTATTATTTCCCCTTTTATCTCCTTTTCCTGCACAAGACCTCTAAGTGTGATACAGAATCCTATCACTTATTTGTGTAGGAATTCCACATATTAAGGAACCACAAGAATAAGCGTGTATGTCAATTCTATTAAACAGCTAACTTACTCCACTCTTTTCNAAGGAATCAAGAAAACAGGAACATCCAGTTATGGGACCATGCAGATTGCCAATAATGAATAATATCAGAAAAACAGCGTAAATATTTGCTATCAAACTTACATGGACAGGTATTCAGAAAAGACGATGAGACATGCACAGGAGCTTGCGAGCTGTACGGAGCACCTGAAAGTGGATGACCTGGCGAACTTTGAGGCCTTAAAACAGGTTGAGGTGACAAATTAGGAGAAATTTGCTCCGGATAAGAAATCGGAGAAGGTGAATGACAATTAGAAGAAGGTGGTAATGAAGGAGGAATTTGTGGTGCAAATGCAGGATAATCTGGAGAAGGGGTTGGTGTAGGTATTGGGGCAGGTGTTGGTGCATAAAGCGAATGATTTAGGAATGATGAGAGACTGATTTCTTTGACTTTTCCGAAAATAGAATGATCGAGGCCGAGATTTTCAGTAGGTGGGGAGCCAGTGATTATCTGAGCCAGCTGTATTAGTCTTTCAGGAAGTATTGTTCCCTTATCAGATGCAACTGAAGCTTCGACTGTAACTGGGGAGTCTTTTGTCGACCCATGTCTGCTTGTTACTTGTATGTACACCACCTGTGTCAAGGAGGGAAATGGACCATAAAATAGATAATCAATGAGATGTAAATGGATAGTATGAATTGCATAAAAATTCGAAAGTTAAGGTCGTGCTTGTTTACTAAATAATTCGTTCAAATGAGTTTTTTTAGTTAACCAGAGTTAATTTTGAAAAAGGTATTAAAATTCGTTCAAATTCGATTAGTTGTTAGTGGGATTTTTTAAAAAATGTATTAAACTAATATTTAAAATAAAATGATTGAAATTGATTTTATGTAAAAGTAGGAGATAAATGATTGGAAATGATAGGTAATTAAAATTATGTGAGTGGATGAATAGTGAATTAAAGTTGATGTGATGTGTAAGAATGATGGGTTTGTATTATTTAATTATATGAATAATATTAAGGATAGTACACCACCTGTATCAAATGAACCGTAAAATAGATAATCACGGATATGAATTGCATAAAAATCGAATCGATGAAGCAAAAGTTACAGAATTTGGGACTAGGTGACTGAAACGAAAAAAAAAAAAATAGAGTCAGTGACTGGAAATTAGAGTTAAGAAACAGTTAATTGATTCACAAGTTTCAGGGAAGCCGCTGAATAAAAACCTCATACAAAATCTAACTGCTACTGGAGCTGTGCAATATGTAGAGAGAAAGTTTAAGTAGTATCACTTTAGTCTACCTCATTAGGCATCAAATGCAATCCAAATCGTAGTTGATCTTTCAACTCCTTGAGATTTTCTTTTATATCGTAAATGGAGCTGTTGAGAGTGAAATTCATGAGGGGCTGAGTTATCAAATTAACTTGCTCCGGTATTATAGTGAACCCCCCAGGGAATTTCAATATCTCAAATGATGAAGGTTCTCCGAAAATCGAAGAGGTCAACGTCAAATTGTATTGTTCGAGAAACAGATCAATTAAGGATGATTTCAACAAAGTCAAGGCCACTATATTCATTGTGCTGTTGATTGGGTCGGGAAGGAAGCCAAACACCACATATGTCTGGTTAGGTAATTCCGCCTGGTGCATGGACAACACAGCAACCTGGAGAAAAATAATGTAATCAATATTATCATGCAATCAAGAAAAAAAAAATGAAAGTGCTAGATAAAGTGCAAACTTGAAGAAAACCTTCGATGATGGGACACCTATCTCGTCATTTATATCATATTCTAGTCTTGCAACATACGGCACAAGCTCGTGAACTGGTTTCTGGAGCTTGAAGTATGACTGAACTGTGGCTGAAATGAGAAACAGACAATTAATTCAAAAAGAGGAGCAAAACTTATAGAAAAGAAAGAAAGAACAAAAGAAAATGCAGGAAAGTTCAATGTTACTATTTAATTTTATATTTTACTCCTTTATGTAAGCACTAGAGATATACCACCATCTCCAGCCCCAAACACACACACACACACACACATACTTGGGGAAAACGAAAAACCTAGTAACAAGTGATGTTAGTCTAGACAAAACACTTAAAATGAAAGTACCAAAGAATGGTAAGTATATAGCCTCTTGGGGATAGTACCACACAACTCTTATAACTTTCAGGTCAGCATATTCATGAGGATTGAGAGGAAAATGAAATACATAGCCACATTCCAGGCATCTGACCCGATACTCGGGGTGTATGGAAATACAAGAAATTAAAAATAAAACAAGGCATGAATACTTGCAGTTACATAATCACTTCATAAAGGCCTAGCAAAAGTGATAGAATTATGCACAATTAAATCGCAAATGGGCATCATTGTTTCAAAGCGGAAATTTACCAACCAAATGACAACCTTACGGTTTTGGAACTCACATGCAATCTCAAATGTCTACCTTATTTCATTATTGAAATTATAAATCTTTCATATGAGATATGACTAGATTATTCAGAGCACTAGAGTTGTGGCCAAATTAACCCACTAATTCTAATCAAGCAGAAGTCAAATTACAAATGCCAGCAAGAATTCCGAGTAGATAAAAATGAATGAAAATTGAAAGAAGAAGAAGAAGAAGAACTAAGCAAAACTATCACACCGGCAAGAATCTAAAAATACAAATTGAAGAAACACATAAAACACAAAGTGAAAGTATTTATGAATTTCGATTTTTGAGATAATCAAAATGACCAAAAAGGGGACTAATTATATCAAACAGAAAAATAAAAACCTAATTTTCACAGCAACCACATACGACAATCCCCAATTGCATTCGAAGCAACAAACATTAAGTTAGAGAACTTAAAAAGGAAAAAGAAGATATACAATCAGCAATTTACCGCTGAGCTTGATGGAGTCTTTAGCATCGAACCCAGCTTGTCTGTACCGAATAGGGAGGAGCCAGAAAAAAGCGGAAAGAAAAGCTGCCAAACTGAGTGCTAAAACGACGCCGCATTTGACGCTGGACAGCCTGAAACAACCCATCGCACATCTCCGGCAGGGGAAGAAGGTAGCAGAGGCGCTGCCGCTGTTAGACGGCTGCACAACAGGCAGTCGCTGATTGTCGGCCTTCCCCATTTCCACCACAGCATCGGTTCTCAACACTTTCTCTCTCTTCACTCTCTGCACTTCCCTCTGACTAGAACTTTCGAGAAAATAGGAGAGAGAACATGGGTTTGTTTTGATTCGGCTTCACTCACTCAATCTCTCTCTAAAGGATTCTCTCTCTCTAAAGGATGGGAAGACAACTGGGTTTTGGCAATGGACAAGTGTGCTCGGTGAACAAATGCTCTGTACGCGCATAAACTTGCACTCCATGATTTTTGTCTTTTTTTATTTACGTTTTCCTTTGTCTTGAATAGAGTTTTCAAACGAGTCGAGTCGAGTTAAGATTATCTTTAACGGTGACCTAAGTACATTACAAAAGACAAAAAAGTGAGTAAAAAAAAAAAAGAAAAATCAAGGAAAAAGCGTGACCCATATTACAATATGACCTTAGAACGTTCACAATGCTTTTGGTTTTTTTTGTATATGTGACATATAATTGGACTTGAGTTTTAAATAACATGGACAAACCCAAGTAAAAAAACTCAAAAACTTTGTAATGCAAAAATAAAAAGACTAGGTCTACCATACATGTCAACCAATAGAAATGCTCTAATATATTTTATTCATTAAAAAAAATTAAATTAAGAACAAATGATGACTGTTTGGGTTTGTACTTGGGTCCAAAATAGCGCAAATACTTAGGTGTGCCCTGGCACACCTAGCATGTTTGGGTTTGTAACATAACATGTTCATTTTAAACTGCCCTGACACACCTTGCTAGGTGTGCCAGGGCACACGGTAGTAGCACTGCCAAAATAGACCCAAGTGTAGACTTGGTCTCTTTTTTTCATTGCCACATAAGCTAGACCATGTCCACTTTTAATTGCATTGGGAAGTATGTTTTTATAGACTATGTCTATTTCCTATGTGGCATGTGATTTTTTGTTAAGAGACCCAAAGCATTGTGGGTGCTCTTAGATCACAACCGGTTGAGGGGGACATTTGTCCAAATTTTATTGAACAAGTGTTTTTTTTAACTAAGATAAAAATTAATTTGTATATTTAGAGATTAATTTATTTTAAAAATAAAAATAAAAATTATCAATATTCATATTTTTTTATTCTCTTTAAATAGAGATCACATTTAATATATTTTAAAACACAATTGCAATTTGGTAACTTTTTTAACCAATTTTAATATTTTGTTCCGGCCTTTGTAATTTCAAATATTTTAATTGAGTTCGTAAATTTTTTAACTATATGGTAAAATATAATTTTTTAAAAATCATTACGACTTTAATTATATATATTTTTTAATTAATTTGTTACAACTAAAACAATGACACATATCAATTATAGATAATACTTAATAAATAAATAAATAATAATAAATAAATATTTTAGGTTGAGTTGAGTTGAGTTGGGGATAAAGATAAGTTAAGTTGTAAAGTTGGGTTGTGTAGGTGGAGGAGAGATAAATAGTTTTTTTAATTGTAGGTTGGGTTGAGTGGGAAATGCTCACATGCCCACGGTAGACACATGTTAATATGCCCACATTGGTGATGTTAAATGTTAAAAAAATACATCACCAATGTGTGCATGCCACATAAGCGATGGGCATATTAACATGTGCCCACCGTGGGCATGTGAGCATTTTCGTGGGTTGAGTTGGGTTGTTGATAAAGATAGTCTAAGCATGAAGGATAGATTTTGTTAAGTGCAAATCGAACTTTTTTTTTTTTATTATTCGAGTTCGAACTCGACGAGTCATGTAAAATGTTGCTCGACTCGACTCGTGAAAATAAATAAAAATGCTCGAGCTCGACTCGATGCTCGACATGGCTCAAGTTCGACTCAAATAAAAAAAAATAAAAATATTGTTTCCCGATGTTCTAGGCACCTGGCGTCGAGGTCTATGAGACCTTGAATTATGTATGTCGATCAAGAAAGAGATTAAGCTAGTAAGTTTAGTAGCATCCCGCTAGGTAAAGATAAAATATTTTCGAAAATTAAATAAGTGTTTTTCCAAAGCTAAAGCGCGAAAAATTTACTCTAATTTACTAATAGTAGGTGGGGTGTTACATCCAGTTTTGAATCCTATTTTTCACTTTGTCAACCACAAAATAGAAAGTATCAATTTTATACTTCCCCACCCCCAGAGGCAACCCTAAATATCTATAAGAGTTGTGATGAGAAATTCCAAGCAGGGTCTGACAAACAGAGTTTCTAAGGGAAAGATCAGAATTCCTGCTAAAAAAGAGGATTTTGGTAAGTTTACAGTTTGGCCAGCAAATTAGGTTAGGAACTGAGAGAGCATATCTAGTAACAGCTTGGCATAGTGATCATCTGCTTTGCAAAAGATGATGGTATCGTCTGCATAGAAAAGATGTGAGAAAACATGCCCATTTCTAGAAATTCTAAGCCCTTAAAACTGACCTAGTCTAGAGTTATTGGAAAGAATCTCTGAGAAGAGTATGAAAATATAGGGTGACAGGGGATCACCATGTCTAATGCCTGTAGAAGGTGTAAGAAACCCTTTGACCTCACCATTTAAATTGAAAAGGAAGGATGTTGAGGAGATATAAGCCATGATCCACTTAACAAAAAAAAGAGTGAAACCCCAATTTAATCAAGATTTGCCTGACACCGTCCTATTCTACCCTGTCAAAAGCCTAGAACATCTAATTTTACAGCCATATAACAATTATTTCCACTCATATGCCTATTAAGAAAATGGATGGCTTAATTGAATATAATAACATTGTCCAAAGTTTTGCCTATCAGCTACAAAAGCAGATTGATTATCACTAATGCAAAGGGGAAGGCATGCTTTCAGTCTCTTGGCAAGAATTTTAGCAATAACTTTGTAGGTCACACTGCAAAGACTTAGTTTGTGATGAGACATTAGTTCAGGAGTTTGACACTTAGGAATCAGAGAGATCAGAGAGTGGTTAATGCTTCTCAACAATTGACCAGAAGCAAAGAAACTTTGAACAAGGGCACAAAAATAAGTTTTAGCAATGGTCTAGAGGGATTGAAAGAAGGAGGAGGTCATACCATCAAAGCCAGGTGCTTTGTTAGGGTCAATACTAAAAACAGCATCCTTGATTTCCTCTTTTTCAACAGCTGCAATGAGATCTGAGTTAAGGTCTAAGGTGATCTTTTTAAGGGATGTCTCTTAAAAGCTCAGCCCCAATCACATTTTCCTAAGTGGTGAATAAATTGGAGTAGAAATCTTCCAAGCAGCCTACAATCTCTTCTTTTGTTTCACACACACTAAAATCCTCTCTTAACAGCCTTGAGATGTTGTTCTGTTGCCTTCTCTCTTTGATGCTGGCATGGAAGTAGCTAGTGTTTTTATCTCCATGTTTAAGCCAGCTGACCCATGCTTTATGCTTCCAATAAAGTTCCTCAGTAGCATTTTTCTTATCCAGTTGACTCTTTAGATGGTCCCAAAGCTCCCAGTTTCTTTCACCTTCTTGACTATTCAACTCAGCCAATTTCTTATTGAGCTCTTCAATTTTGGTAGATGTTTCTGATTTGAACTTGCTTCTCCATTTAAGAATTTCCACCCTGGTCTCTTTTATTTTTTCCTGGAAGTTGAACATTGGAGTTCCATTGTGAGGCTTTCCAAGCTGAGCTGACAACTTCTTTTATTCCATCTTTTGTCGTCCATCACTTATCAAAGTAGAACCTTCTCTTGACATTCCTAATTGATGGGTTAAAAGTGAGAAGAAGAAGTCCATGGTCTGAAAAAACTTCTCCACCTCAGTTGAAGGGAAAAAGGTGGTGCCGGCTAAGGGTACTTAAAATTCTTTCTAATTTTTTTGGACAAAACCTTCTCCCAATCTTCTATTTCCCCAAGTAAATTTGTGCTCCTTCATTTCTAGCTCCAACAAACCCATCTTAGCAATGAATTCCCTGAAGCCTTGAAAAGAACTGGATGTTCTCCTTCTGCCCCCCTGTTTGTCAGAATCTTCAAGGAGATCATTCTAGTCTCCCGCCATAAACCAGTTGTCTCCCCAGTTATGTTTGGCTGACAACAAATACTCCCACTGGATTTTCCTTTGAACTAAATCAATAATCATATATAAAAAT